GGTCAAACATCCAGAAATGAGGATGTGTTCCTTGACCATCAAGCATTTTCTTGGAAAAAATGCATACTCTTTAGGATTGTGGAAAAAAGCAAAATTCCAAAATATTAATTTCCTAGTGCAAACCAATACCATGACTGTGCAATTAAAAAAACTGATAACATGAGAGAATGGACCAGTATTCCAAAAAGTGCACCTTTTTCCTAATTATCATACAATAATACATGTTGAAGATTACACCTCACTGTATGACAAGAAAATCCATTACCGAAAAAATCCATTACTGTCGAGACTGTTTAAACTAGGAATGGCCTCTTATTATGCCCATTTCCTCTTTTCAATGCGTTAACCGCAAGAAATACCTTAACAATGACTGGAATTTATACTTATTCCTCTGTGGAATCTGTGGGGAAAGAACCACTCCAAAATTCTATCATACCTCTGGGCATTAGTCACAAGTCAAGTCTAATAGCCCATAGCCTACGAGCAACGACCAAAACTTATATATATAAGAATATCGGGAAGCCTAGGCCTAAGGTAACCCATGTGGCTGAAAATCAGTAACAGTACAAGATGCACGATTATTTGCACACGAAATAATGACACAGGAGTATTTTGCCAATTGCCTCAAGGCAGTTCCCTCATACTGTAAATGCAATGTGTATACCCGAAGACACATCGTATTTGCACTAATTGGAGGAAGCACTTCATGGATAGCTCTGCATTCGGATCGTGCCAGCAAACATTTTTTTATTTTTCAAAATGGACAGGGCTAAAACGAGACTAGCGCGTTTGTCAAGTAACCAGTAGTCTAGTTTCTGTATATTGTGTGCCTCCATTGTCTTTCTTTTTTCACAACCTACTGTCAGTGTCATTGAAATGAGTTAGCATTGCAAGTTTGGGACATCAACCAACTACTAAATATAGTTTTGGGGTAATATTGCCACACCATATCTTCGTAACTTGCGCCAATACAGACCTTACCAGAAACACATAGGCGGCTATTAGTAGGGGGCTTGGAGCAAAATATTAGCCTGATCGCATGAAAAATTTTCAAGCACGTAAATGAGGACAAGATACAGGCTGAGTACGTTTTGTGGCAAGTTTGCACCAATAACGGCATTTTTATTGCGATTTCATGAGCACCCACGATGAGCCCCTAAGGATCTGTGCCACAATGTGCATGCGCCTAAGACCCACACAGCACGGTGATATCCCAGGGATGTCCCTAACTGGACGACTTGTCCCATGGTCTTTATAGGATATCCTGAAGACATCTTTCGAACGGTTTCGGGCATCACGTAAGGGATGTCTTCGGGACATCTTAGGGAAGTCTTTAGGGATCTTCAGTGCTCTGTGTCGCCTTCAGTCAGTTGCATACCTTCTACAGTAGATGTCTCCCGTGAGCCCTGATCTCCAACCTCAGATCTTTTCTACCAGATTTATCTGCTTGATTTGTCCTGAGGATAAGTAATGATTTTCGTACCGTACATCAGGAAATACCCAGTTTAAAATCCCGGCTGGAAACAGCTATAATTTCCAGCTGGACTCCAGCTGGAAATTCGGACCCATTCCAACTGGGTAACAGCTGGAAAGTAGTAATCTCCAGATTTATTCCTAATTGCTATATCACTAACTGAATTAGTATCTTTTCGTTGACTGTTTTTGTCGGAGGTCCATCTACATGAACAGCTGATTTTCAACCGTAAATTTAGCTACATTCCACCTGTAGAGTCCTCTTTATAAAATTCCAACTGAAAATTTTCCAGCTGGAAACAACTGGTACCTACTATTTTCCAGCTCTTTACCAGCTGGAAATGGTCCGAATTTACAGATTTGGTCCAGCTGAAATACTAATATTCCAATTGGGATTTTAAACTGGGTAGGGAAAGCGAAAGAAATTGCGGTCCGAATTTTAATTAGCCCAGACATTTTGACATTCCTAAGATGTTCCTAGAAGTCATCTCCAGGACCTCTCACTTGTCCCAAAAAGATATCTCTGAGAAGTCTTAGGGGTATATTTGTGCTGTGTGCCTTGGGCTCGATGCAATCAGAGCTGTCAGTTTCCTCAGCGGTCAGACGGGGTGCGTCTCCAGCCGCTAGCAGCTGCTGACGAAAAAGATGCGTTGGCTGGGCACGACCGCGTCATTCAATGACGTCACCATTAGGCAAGCAGCTGCGAGCGGAGCATAGCGAACTATGAGAACGCTGAGCGGCTAAGTCTTAATGCGAAGTCATCGGATGCTGGGGGCCTCGGCAGATAGTTGAGCCGCTAGCAAAAAAGACCCTCAACCATCACTTCATGGGCACCGTTTGTGTTTACCAAAACTAACCGAGAAATGAGATTTGTGACGGTCGAGAACCAGATAGATGGAAATTTGTCCAATTAAATTGACAAAATGAGGGTCCCCTTGGCCAAAAGGAGGTCCACCATTGGCCAGGGCTTGCCCAACTTATTCCATTGGTGATGATCTGACTGAAGAGCACGCTTGAGTGCCGACGGTATTCCTTTTTTTTTTACTGTATTTGTTATAATCCTATTTCCAACATGAACTTTTATATACCATATTCAATGTCTATCGGGTATTTACTGTATCATAGCCCCCCACCACGGGTGCAAGTTTTCAGGCATCTGTAAACACCCTAGGAGCAAAATGAGAAAAAAAACTTTCTTTTTTTCCTTCGAATTGTTGATGAGCGAAACAAAGAAACATGGAAACATTGGAGGCGTCCGATTTTTTTGTTTGTTAAAGGTTAAATATGCATCTATGTGAATTACTACACGAAGTCATAATACTTTGCGTAGCTCATTTTTTTTGGCAGTGTCTTAACAATGGACAGTGCCGGTGGGGCACTCTGTGGGGGAAAAACACGGCGGTATATCAGCTCTATATTATCTCTTCTCCTCTGCTGCAATATCCATTCCAACGGCGACACTCAAGCCGAAGCGAAGCGTGACCGTTCGCATTCTTCCTCGCGCTCGAAACCCGGGGAAGGTCGGGTTGACCTCTGCCGGAATTCGATGGCGACACGGACGAGGACGCGTTTCTGACTTCTGTAAGTGGGCATCTATGACGTCATATATGACAATTTAACCAGCAACAAATACTTTGTTATAGAAACTTTTATTGTATGTTCTTTTATGTAAGGAATGCAATGGAGACCTACTTCGTAAATAGGCATATGATGAGGGAAATCGTGGAAATTTATTTTTTTGTAGGTATTTCTTTGATGTTTCTGTTCTGCGACAAATTGAAGTACGAAGGGCGTTTAAAGAGTTCCTGGCCCTGAGGCGCTTCGAATTTTCATGCAAGATTCTTACTTTTCCAATAGTAAACTTTTCATGGCTTTGTTGGGGACTGGCGAAACTGCATCTCATTGTCCAATGAATTCAAGGAATTTTTTCCTATGTGCAACCAAGGTGAAGGTGTATTAAAAAAAGATTCTTACCTTTCCAATAGTAAACTTTTCATGGCTTTGTTGGGGACTGGCGAAACTGCATCTCATTGTCCAATGAATTCAAGGAATTTTTTCCTATGTGCAACCAAGGTGAAGGTGTATTAAAAGGTGTATGAAAGGTGTATTAAAACCGAGACTGTCTGTGATGAAATTCCTAACCTTGAAAGGCGTCGATATTCTGGCTGATCTCTCTGCAGGAATTCGCCCTAACCCATCCCTGAATGATCTTTTCGGGGATCGACTCCTTCAGGTGTATTACAACTGGGAGTGTTCCGAGCAGGAAACTTTTTGAACGCCTCTCGTATGTTATGAATATAAAACTTATAAAACAATATTTGGAAAGGAACTTTGTTTTGCCTCACAACGGCACCCCATTTGGCCCATTCATGGGCCAAAATGGCACCCATTGGGTATTTGACAATTTTTAGAAACGTGGGAGGAATAGTCGCCGTTGATTTTGCAATGAAGTTGTATCCTAGTAGTAGGAAAGACAGGAAAGGTACCACATACCAATCTGCAACGTGCTACTCCAGCTCCTTGGTACTAAAATTGGTAATATTCCTTAACTACCCCGTTTTGCCCCACCTTCCCCTACTTCAATTAGTCTATGGGAATACATTGATACAGTTCAAAACAAAATCTACAAAATAATGGTAAACTGATGCTTCTAAAGCATTTAATCTGCCATGTAAATACCTATCATTATTGTACTTTTCCTGAAGCCTAATATTTTTAAGCTAAATTTTGCTGCATATATATTTATAATGAAATACTTCGAAATAAATGTTTTTCGTCCCACGTGAAAATGGAGGATTTTTGTGCTGTACGGGACTGTGATTGAAACTCTAGCCAGCACATGATCATATTAAGGACTCATTGCTTTACAGTTAACAACTGCATTATTAAATGTTTAACTTTTGCAGTCGGGGAGAGGAGATGCACCTCATCGTAAACGCGAATTTTGTGCTCGACGAGACGCAATACATGATCATATTAAGGACTCACTGCTTTACAGTTAACAACTGCATTATTAAATGTTTAACTTTTGCAATCGGGGAGAGGAGAAGCACTTCATCGTAAACGCGAATGTTGTGCTCGACGAGACGCAATATTTGGGTCCTTGCAGACTTTAAGGCGCGCTTTCGAAACTAGAAAGGCATCACTGCCGTCAGCGAAGCCAGATCCCGGGCGGAACATCGCACCTGCCTCCTAGTGGATGGCCTTGCCATTCGCTAGCATCGCAGCGCTGCGGGAGAGAACTCCGCTCAGATGCCATTCGACTCGAGTGGAAGTGAGTTCTATTTTTTCGTATTCCTGTCCTGTCTAAGGGTGGATTTTTGAACAGAGAACTATTCGATAATGCAGCTTTATTCCAGGGAAAATACTTGATATTTCCACCCTTAGCCTCAGCTTCTCTTGCGGTTTCTTGCTCTTTCCGGCCATCGCCAATCGTGTGAGACTGCTAGAGTAGGTAATGCAAAAAAGTAACTTTGACAAGGGGTAGAACAACCAAAAACGTCGCTGCGCCCCTGCAAAGACAACGTATGACGGTTTATTGCTGCAAACTTCGTTTAAACTTATCGCATTTTAATTTAGTCATAGATATAATCGTATTTTATTAATCATATATATTCACCTGGTTTCCAGATCATGAGGACCTGGTCTTCCGCTCGGATACCGGTAGCAGTGTTTGCACTGCTACTGACCTTGGAGGCGGTTGGGTCGGTCCACACCTACGCAAAGGTCACCTACAAAAATTGCTTGACTGCTAGACGCGGGGTGAATTTGGAGGGGAAAAGGGAGGCCTTCTGCGAGGTTCTTCCAGATGACCCGGCGACGATGAGGGACGTTTGCCGGAGAAACATCGCGGAATCTGGCAACATGTGGAGGGCGTTCTGTCGCGAGTACCAGAAATACTTCCACTGAAGTACTCGGGGGTACTTGAGCCTCGTTGAGAAACGAGAAGGAAAATGAAAATGACGCGTGAGAAAATGTAATGATGAAAAGAGTTACATTTTTATTGCCACCCAGATGAATGAATAATCCTATGTAAACATGACACAGTTTATCCACTGAGCTAATTGAGTTTATCCACGAGAATAATGGCTACCATCTTGACACGCATTCCAATGCATTATGTCACTGAATAATGCAATTAGTGAATTCAGCGGACCATGCAAAACGATTCGCAAACGCTATGGATTCGTAATAGGATAAGATGATCCTTTCCTCCTGAACTGCTTCGCAAAGCCCTGAACAGGGTGACCCACTTCCTCCATCTCCTTCCAATCTCGTCTCGCCCTGTAAACCAAATTCGTCCCGCATCCCCTTCGTGACAACCCTCTCATTCGCAGTGTCACCAACATCATCGAGTCCAAATTTCCCATTCTCGTGTCTGGACGCGACACTGGCCACATCTCCGCTCCCCCTCTTCATGCCTTCTGAAGCGACAGAAACCTCGTGGACGTGATTTTCCGCCCCAAACTCTGCTCCTCGTTTGCAGCTAGGCCCTTCCTTTGTGGCGCCCACGTCATTTCACCTGTCCCTTCGTTTCTCTCTCTCCATCGAAGGCCTCAAGGGACAACTTCACAATCTTGCAACATTTCACATTTCACCAAAGATGTTATCTATCATCATCTCATGGACCTCAAGTAAACCATGACTTCGCTCGGTGGATGGTTTTGCGGGCATTCGGATAAAGTCTTCAGAGCCAGTTCCATCTCGTTTGTCTTCCAAATCACTCGGTGAACAATATCAGAGGACTCCCTTCTAAGGAATCTCGTCGCTCTTTGGAAAATCGTCTTAAATTTCATCTTGGTTCCTGATTTCCCGAAGGCATCAACCCTTCCATCCATTTCTTGTTTGACTCCTGATTTCCTTCCCTCCCCCCTTCTCTCTCTCTCTCTCTCACCAGCATTACACTATCCGTGATGCAATAGCACAAGATTTGGAGTCCCACAAAATGGCTCGAAAGCGTAGGATGAACGTCTCATCCCACACAGCACAGGTATATCCCAAAGATATCCCCTTGGGACAAGTGCGATATCCCAGAGACAAGGACATCTTAGGGATATCAAAATGTCTGGGCCCAATGACATCCCTTTCTTGAAGAATAGCACATCCCAGAGATATCCCATTGGGACAGGTGAGAATTCTCAGGTAGGACTTGTAGGGGCCTTCCTATTCCTTCCTACCCATATGGACTCATTTCCTATCGCACAGGAGAACCCTTTGCTTTCGTAGATGTCTCTATTTTATATAGGAACACCTAAT